AAACTATAGATTAGATAACTTAATTAACACAAATTAATTTATTTTATATTATAATCACCTTTAATTAAAAAATAATCTCGTGTACTCAAATACAAAAGACCTAATATAATAGAAATATAAAACAAAATATATTAGTTGTCTAATTAGTTTATGCTCATTACCTATGATTTATGTTCTATGAAGTATCATAGAATAAATACAATTTTTTAAAAATATATTTTTTGTTAAAACAATCGAAATCCATAAGTAATCCATATTATGTATGTTTCAATTCTATTTTATTTTATTTATTCATTAATTTCTTTAAATTTGTATTTAAGACTTAAGTACCTACCTAGGTAAATTAAATATGATAATTTAATTATCATTGTAATATCTTTGATCCAATATATTTTTGTTTTATTTATATTGGCCATTTTTTATACTTATATAAATTATATTATATATTATACATCAATAAAATAATAATACTCTTTGTTTAAATATATTGTATTCAATTAATTTAAATGGTAGGTAACCAATAGATTTACCAATTCTTAGTGGTATTGGGAGGTGTTGCCCCCCCTTACACAAGGTATTTTTTTTAGTTTAAATAACTTTTTTTATGAGTAAAAGCCATTTGGGTTTTTTTTAGACCAAAAATCCAGACAAAATTTCGACTACATAGGATGGTTCAATTTCAAATCTGTAAAGAGATTCGAGTTCTTTGGCTAGTTTATTATGTTATGCAGGAAGCCCGATTTCAATAAAAAAAAATTCAGCTTCTTGTATTAAATAAATTAAATTTGCAATTTTTTAAATATTGATATTCGATTATATTATTTTACATAAAATAAGAATAAGGCAAACAAATCTGGCTATAATTTTTACAACAATCGAATAACAATAATAATACAAATAATTTGAAGTTGATTTTTATAAATTGATTTAAACGGCCTTTTAAATTTTTTTTACCCTAGGTATTTTAAATTCATATGAAATTTGGATATTCGTTAAAATAATATTTTTATCTTAATCTTTTTTTTAATAATTGCTTAAAATTTTGTTGAGTAAATTGTTTTTAAATAATCCCCCCTACATTTTTTGATTTGAAAAACAACGGTTTGGGAAATTTGAAACCGTCACGTGACCAATCTGAAAATGTATTACAATCGAAGGTGTACTCAACGAAAATCGGAAACACGTTAAATGCAAATGTATTGGATATGTATGCAAATCTCCCAAAGACATATAAAGGTATATAAAAACGAACACGACAATCATTTTCTGTCGTTACGATTTTGGCTAGATGGTAAACATCCAAAAGAAAAACAGCTCATCGCAAAACCAAATGGCAAGGGCCTACGTTAGATTGATAGGTACAAAATACAGTATTACTATTTACTCTGCGCCGATGAAAAAAGCCAGAATAACAAGTCACTGTATGAGTAAAAAATAATTTATATTTCCACACATGTGTTACATGCGCAAGGGACACGATAAAAAAATAAAGAAGAAAACAAGTCGCCTATGGTCTTTATGGTTACTGCGCTAACACTAAAAAATAGTCCCAATGAAACGTTTAGAAAATTGTTGTTCTAAAAGTTTTCTGTGGAGGCAACAACACAGTCATGTCATGTAAAACAAATAGTCCGCTCTTTGGTAGAAATTTTTGTGTTTGTGCAGTGAACTGTAGTGTGAATGTCTTCGACATACATCAATATTTCAAAAAAATGTTTGATCCAAAACTATTTACTATAAAACTGCCTGTTATTGAGCATAAGAATCATTATGCAGTAGATTTCAGATAAAGTTGGTAGCCTTATTGATAACATATTAATACAATGACGAATATAAAATTGTTTATTTTGTTGTGGCTGATATTTTATACTCCATCGGTTAACAGCGAGAGCACAGAAAAGGTAAATATAATTTTTTCCAACAATTACTAACAATAATAATAATATTCGTATGGCGTATTTGACCGGGAGGGCTATAGCTACAATTATTACTTATACATATTTTGTAAATCATTTGTATTACATTTCGTACAGTAAACTAAACGTTTAACATGTACCTATGGTATTCCACTATTGTTAAATCTCTTAAATATAATTGTACCTTAAAAGTAACTAATTATTTTTAAAGTTTATCAAAAAATAAAACATTGTATGTATACAAAAATAGGATATGCTAAACTTTAAATTATATTATGACTAGACCAAATCTCATGAAAATCACTGTAAACCCATGACCACCCCGTCCTCACTGTACTGAATTTTTTTAAATAAGACTATGCTTGTTTTCGAATTTCGATGATAATCTACTATTAGTCTGGTAAGAAAATCTCTCTTAGAGATGTGAGAAAAAACACATAAGAGTACTAAAAAGAATATTAGGGTGGTACAAAAAAAAATGTTTTTTTTAATTATTTTTTGTTCTTCTTTTGAGAATATATTATTTGGATGAAAAGATAATTTTTGATATTTTTTTTTAGATTTTTAAACCCGTTTTTAGATGTGGTTCGGGTCAATTTTATATCAAAAGTTTTTTAACTTTTTTTTTTTGTTCAATAAAAAAATTCTTCAAAAAAAAAAAGAAATAAATGTTGATATTCACTTGATAAAAAATTACGAAATTGCTAATGCTACGGAAAAAAATAGATGGAAACTTTTGATATCTTGATAAAAAAAAATCACAAAACTATCCAAAAAAATTCTATCATATACTTCATTATATTACGAAAATATTACGATTTTTTCTACTTAACATTAAAATTTTAATCCTAATTTAGATTATTGATAATTATAATTTAACATTTATTTTTATTGTGTGTATTTAATTTAAATCAATTGGTCAAATTCTGTAAAATATATTTGTTTCATTTTGGAGATTCAATTTTTATTTAGTTGGCTAATAAAAAACGATATTTATCTGGAATTTCATCCGACCCATGTCCGTAAACCTCAATCATAAATGATTTTAGTCGTACAAATTTCGTTTTAAAATAAAATACCAAATTTAACCGTGGATAATATAAAAATTTGTTGACGGGTAAAAAGTTAAGTTCATCTTGATTAAGTGAATAATGGAAAAACTTGATTTTTTTCGTGAATTTATTTAACTATACATTTATTGGAATTATTCAGTTCTCTGACTTGTATCACGTTAATGATTGTTCGATTTATGTTGATCTCTAGTTTAAACGAATTAAAATTGTATTATCAGTTTTTATGTAACGACGTGTAATGATATGTGTAATTAAATTTCAGATCCTAAAACGCATTTTTAAAAATATTTTAACACATATCAATAATCATCAAGCTGTACATCAAGCCAATAGCATTACTTATACACAGTTTGTGAATTATGTGGGCAATGTCACAAATACCAGAGATGTAGTGCTGCGTGTGGTACCTCAACGTTTTTCTGTCGATGACATCAATACAAGTAAACATTAATTTTACTTCATTTATCATTAAAGAATAACTTTTAAGAAACTGTTTATATTATGGAGTTAACGTAAAATAGAAATGGTATTGTGTTGAGAAAAATTCCTCGCATTTAAAATTTTTTAGTCAGTTTTGCGGTGTTTAACTGCTGTTTGTATCGTAACAATTTAAATAAATTGTTGTTTCGTTTTTAAGTTAAAGAAAGTTTTTTTTTTGTTTCAGTTATGATAACGCAAGGAGAGTTTAATGAATTAATAACAGATATCTGCAAAGAACACCAGACATCAATAACAAGCTACGTAGACATTATAGAAAAAGCAATAGACTCAAAAACAATAGATACGATTTTAAAACCTTGTAAATTTGAAGAATGTTAATTTTCAACCTAATTAAATGTTTTTAAAAATACAGCTATTTTAATGTATTTTTTTAAATTGCTTTTAACTAAACTCTTCGGTGTTAATATTAGTGATGAAATTATGAAACTAATTAAGAATAGCTTGTGGGAAGCAATTAATAAAGTTTTAAAATCAAATTAAATGATGTTGTTTTGGTTTTTGGATGCATATTTTTTTACATGAAATGGTGTATACAATAGGTGACCGTTTGAACAAGTACACTAAACGTCACAATATTATCAAAGTACATTTTTTTTTCTTATTTCAATAAATAGTTTTAATAGCACAAGACAAATAAATGACACAACATGGAATATGTTATGAGTACGTTTCCGTGATAGAAACTAAATATACAATAACTGAACACAATAAGAACGATATTAGATATATATATAATACAATATTGCAATATTGGATGGAAATACCCAAAAGGTTTTATAGGGATTAGTAGAAACGATATCATATTAGTATCAATTAATTTTGTTTACAATATTTTGAAGTAATATATATTATATAATGTAGGTGTAAAAGTTAGTGTCCGTTAGAGTCACTTTTTATTGATATATATTATTATTTGTTTGGACTGTTAAGAAGTACATGTGTGTAAAGTTAAGTTAAAGTACAAAACTTAACATTAGATACAATAAACCAGAATAGTGGGGGTCACATCAAAAAATGTATTTATACTACTATATTCGGAAAGGATTCGACAACGTACTTATAGCAGTGTTCTTTACAACTTTGTTAGTAAAGTCCAATATATTATAGTGTTAATAAATTATTAGGTATGTCTGAGAGTAAAAATCCCTCGCAGATCTTCATCCAAGCTTAGTGGATTGTATAGATGTTATGCTACCGACGATAATAATATCAGGAACTCAGGCTAATGAATCTACATTAATAAACACAACTACCTATACAACGGAAACCACAAAAAATTCCAAAATAATAATAACAATATAATCTGATGGTGGATACTGATATTAATTGCTAATTGGGTACCGATTATTCCTATCTCTGTCAAACTCATGACCGACATAGCAGTTTAAACGTAAATGTCGTCCGCAGTAACGATCGATCAACTAATGCTATAAGGAATCTTAAAACAGATTTGAATTCAAATACAAATAAATCATCAACAACAAATTGTGTACATTTTAAAACAGTAATTTAATTAATTAATTTAAGTCATTTAATATTTTTAAGACTAAATTGAGTACACAAAATGGTATTAATACAAAAACATAGTATTATAGGTGAATACCATAACAATAATTCAGTGTAACATTATTAAAAGTAATGATAGGTTGATATATTGAGTATAATAAGTTTTCTGATGTGTCAACCAATAGCCATTGATTTTTTTCTCTGTCATATCTTTCACAATGAAGTTCTCCTCCATTATTCACAAACACGTATAAGTCGTTTTTCAAGATACCAACACCTAAGTTTTATAATGTTTATTAATAAAAAAAATGTAATTTATACTTAATTAAATAAATACAGACTTGCGCAACCCAATTTAAAATCCATGGTCATGTTAGGCATTTCATCAAATTTGAAATTTTGTAAGTCGAACTACATAACTCGTTGTACACATGATTCATCAGCACTACCACCAATGAGATAAATGACGTTATCTATTCTTGATAAACTCATACCCAAATTACACTTGGGCATTGGTTTAAGTTGTTGCCAGTGTTTATTTTCAATATCATAGCATTCTACAGTTGCAAGAGAATCACGTTTAGAAATACTTTGTTCATTACGTCCACCAAACTACACAAAACCATAAAACTTGATTAAAATGCTTACAAACCATAATAGCTTGTTAAAAGAATATTTTACAATTTTTTTCTTATACAAATTAATAAAATATGAGTAGAAACTTGTCTAATAGTTGGGCATGGTATTTATGGTTAAATTGTGTTTACTTACAACATATAATTTATTATTAAATACTGCAGCACTACACTCGCAGCGAGCAGTGGGCATTGGTTCAGTAATTTCGGTCCATACTTTTGAATTTGTATTCTACAGAATTCGAACTTTTCCAATTTGAGTAATCACAGCCTCCCACCTATATCATACGAATAAAATATATATATTTTCTTGTATACAATGTGTATTTGTTATGTTAACTACAATCAAATTAATACTTACGACATATATGTACTGTTTGTAAGTACAAACACCAAATGCTCTTCGTGGTCGGTTCAATGGCCTTGTAGAAACCCATTGTTTTGATTCTGACTTAAGATCAAGCTCGTCTACAAGATTGGTCAATCTACCAGACTCGTTTAAACCACCAATGGCAAGTATTATCCCATTTTCAGAGACTACCATCGTTTTATCTTTACGGGGAGGCAAAAAAAATAAATGCTCGCTTGATTTCCATCTTAAGTCATTATCGTTTCTAATATCCATATACTTCACAGAGGAACCGCCACTGGTTAAATCACCATTAATTGCAAAAATAATCTGAATACACATATATACAAATGTCAGGTGATATAAGCACAAATCTAGTACATTTTGTACCTGTACCATGTAAAAATTTAGTTTTAAAATATCTACATACATTTGATGATCCAATTTGAGTACATCTTCCAAGAGTAACTGGTGGTTTTGATTTGATGTAAGTTTTGGTGATATTGTCTAATATTCCTCTCATAACTAATAAGCATAACAATAATAATGTTTATTTAAAAGACACCTCAATAATATATATCACCTATAGGCGCTATTGTATGGACAAGTAAAGGGCAACAATTTAGATTGAATGCACCCTCGATTGAAATATCAACAGTATATACGTACCATTAGTATTATTTCCCACTAATGGATGATTATAAATCCTTTGTAGTCCTTTTTTTGAAATTGAAGGTAAACGTAAATATTTCATAAAATTCGGTAAAAAGCCATTACGTTCATCTGTGTTATATCGTATCCAATCAACGATAAAATCAAATATCTATAAAAAAAAAAAATCTTAACTTAATATTAAATAATTGTAATAGGACCAACATTCAAATAAGTAATTTTTTTATTCCCTTTTCAGTTACAATAATTATACCTTTTCCTCAGAATCAATTACTAAATCATCACGTGCAATAAACTCGACAACATCATCAAACTCAAAGTCATAAAGTGTTTCTAACGCTTGATTCAATGTCACAATTATACTAAAAAAAATATTTTTTTATTATTTGATAATTTAAATAATGTTGCGATCATATGTCGCACCAGATTACTCACTAGAAATATTTTAAAAAATATGACCAACAAAAATTGTAAATATTTTTGTCTGATATTAATTTGGACTTTTTCATAAAACGCACACAATTTGTAGGATTTATGTTTTCTTTAATATATTTGCAACACAATTTTCTTATACTACTTACATCAAACATTTCGGCAGCCATCAATAGTTTTTAAAAAAAGAATAATATTTTTAGGTAAATAACAATAGAATTATAACAATATATTTTATAAACTGTACATCCTATTGCGTGTTTTCTACCTCGCAATTGTTTTCTTTAACATCCAGTTTATAAGTATATGCAAATTTGACCACCAATTCTAAAATTGTAGAGTCTATTTCTTTTATAAGAATCTCATTTTCGTTTTTCTCTTTAAATTGTCCGCTGAACATTGTATAAAATACATGACTCGCAGAGGCCAATATATTTCTGTGTGCTTCTATTTTTAAGCCTTCATTGGTAACTAAGGTTACATCACAAAGTTCTTTGTCCCTAAAAAAAAGGAATCCGTATTAATGTATTTATTTTCATTAGTAGTTATAAATAACTATATGATTTTATTATTAAAAAACTTGAAATAGCCAAAGTGAAATCAAAGATCTGAATAATAAGATTTTAAAATTCAATTAATACCATTTGTTTTTTTAATTTACAAATAAAGTACATTTTAAATAATTTATCCACCTAATGTAATAATAGTAAAAGTATTTAAAAGGACGCCACACCGCCCATTTTTAAGGAGTAAAGTATAGGCAATTTTTTACAAAATCTTAACCTAAAGGTTAAACTGTGATGTGTAACTATGAGTTCAGTAGTTAGGACTCTTTTTTAGTAGTTAAATTATTTATCACAGCATCCTTGACAGAGATTTAAAAAAAAGGGAGATGGTAGAACACAGACAATGTTGTTGTCTATATTATGTGAAAATTTGGTTTCTTAGTTTTCATTACAGTCTTTACAGCCTTTGTAAAATTAATCCGCGCAAGGCGGGTTTTTTGAAGAAAATAACGGATTATTTTTAACCCAAAATTTAAAAAAAAATGTTTATATACATATATATAATGTGTGATAATTTTATCATAAACCACTCAATATCTCACAGGGTTTAATAAGAAATTTAGTTTTTTTTTTAATAATGTGTTTAAACAAAGTGATCTTAATGTTTCACAAGTTTCTTTGTTTTCTACTTACAAATTTTGAAACTTAAATGGTAATGCATACATTTTATTAACTTTTTAAATTGAGAACAATGTACTAAAAATTTTGACTAGTCAATGATTTTGACCACCCGCACTTCCCCTGTTAATTTAAAAAGATAATGAAATCATAGCATTACTATTTAAGTTTCAAAAGTAGCCATAAAAAAAAAGAGATTGGGAGGAACAAAAAAAATTGTGAATAATTAAGATCACATTGTATAAAAACTAGGAATGGGCCGATACTAGAATTACTAAATACTAATTTCTTATTAAACCATATGAGATATTGAACGGTTCACGATAAAATGATCATCTTCTATATATTACTGTAAAAAGTGCAAACCTACACCCCAGGACTTTGCTATATTATATAAAAGGCCACAATTAAAATACAAACGTTAACGGTAATAAATAATAATTGTACAAAACTAATCATTTAATGACTTACTTATAGAATTGATACATTTTTTCGAAGTGTTCTTGCATACTAACTTCCATAATTGTTTGGCTTGTACAGTATAGATTATAAATGTACCGTTTCTGTGTTTGATTGTTTACCAATTGTAAAATGACATAACCTATAACATATATAAGATACAAAATACAATTTATTTTCTATAAAAAAGACGAGGTAAAATAAAAAGTTTACAAACAAACACAACAAATAGTCTGAATTTTAATTTATTTAAATTAGATGCATAACACAAAACTACAAGTATGACTTGTAGGTATGATGCTAACACGATAAAGATTAAAGCTAGACGATAGACCATTTTGCCGACTAGATTAATTTACAGTGGCGTTGATCCCGTGTCACTCGACTCAACTCTGAGTAAATAATAAGTAATAAGCAAACACATAATATAGGCTATGATTCCATTTATTTACAATCAGTGTTCTAAGTCAGTGGAAGACAGCAAACACGGTAATAGTGTAAATAAATTCGAAATACAAAACGGTAGGTACTCACGCAACGTAGAACCGTAAACCACTGTCCAGGGCTGTCACTTACAATTTATAATACCTTAACTACTGGCACGACAATCAAACTCAATTGTAACGCAAATTGAAACGAAATAATATGTTAGATATTATCACAGAATTCGACCAAGTCATTAAATCTAAAGGTTTTCGCAAATCGGAACCAACTCACCCGTAGCAACAATAATAAAGACAAATTGTTCCTATGGCGATACATTTAATTTAACCAGTGTTGCCAGCTGCGCATTCAATAAATATGCGGCTTCTACCGAAAAAATATGCTTTAACCATTTTAACATTTTTATCATAAATCATAGTTATCACTTATCATCTTTCGAGTTTCGAGTTCCCGCCAAAATTTTAGTTTTCAATGTTCAAGTTACATCAAATCATTTATCATTCAATTGAATACCATAAGTTACTAATGTTAAATTATAAAAACATGTATGTTATAAATTATAATCCTCGAAATTCAAATTAGGGCTATATCATTAACAAACATGCTACGAGTAGAATTATTTTTTTTATAGACTAATAGAAAGATTAAATGGTCAAAATATTTTTAATCTTTATTATCGTCCACCAGTTAATAGGCTTATCAATTATCAGTTTTCACACTAAACACAGTGTGAACCACGGACTATAATACAGGACTGGAAACGACACTCATATCAATGGAACCAAAGTACAACGCTTGCTAGTACAAAGACGCTCTTAACGCCATCTATAGATCAGTCAGTAATTGCACACAAAAATACTAAACAAAACAAGTTTAATATCTTAAGGCAAAATTAAGAGAGCGTTACCTGCCATTGTTATTAAGGTCAATGGTAAACGTAAATTTTCGCAAAATCTTAATTTCGATTTCAAACTAAAGTATAAAAAAAATTATTCCATCCAACGGCAGTGTCTAATTATTAAGGCATATAATAATTATTATACTGCTTTTCATATTTTTATGATGACTGAATAATTTATCAGTCCCAGTTCTCTTGTACGTTATTATTTAATAGGTTATATTGGTTATTTTTTAAAATTATGGTCCTAGAAAAAAAAATGTACTAAAATATTCTCTATTATTCGTTAAAAAGCATATTTTATTTGTAGCATTTTGATTTTTCTTACAATGCACCATACTGCTTATAATGTTTTTGGATTTTGGGGTTTATCATCAAAACCGTATATTATTGTACATTTTTCTCAGTTTGCTACATGAAGTGTAAACAGATATTTTATATAGGTTTAAATTGAATTTGTATTGAATTTCTGTTAAAACGAAATTTTTTTTTGTGTTTTCTGCTGTTGTCGTCGTTGTAAGTGTTCTTATTTGTACAAATGTTTCAAATATGAAAATATTTCACAGAAAAACAATTTTTTTTCCCGTTTGATATACATACTACATTAGTCTTTATAACATTATGCATATTGTTGTTTTCAAATTTCCACGGTATTTTTTGTCCTAGAAAATTATCTTTCTGTTAGAATACAAAACCAATTTTACATATAATATATTTTTACTGCACTTTCGTTACATCTTAGGTAACATCTTTGTACATCTATGACAAATGTTACTTTAGGTCCAATTTTAATTCCAAAAAATAACGTTAAAAAAAAAACAAATACTTAAAGAAAAATGTTCCATCACTATCAGGAATAAAGATTAATGAATTCAATAGGTATTTAATATTTTTCAAAACAAACATGCTTAATTTAAAAGTTAATTCAATATAACATATTTCAGTACTTATTTATTAAAATTAAATGTATTAAATATATAGATATAATTTTTTTTTAATGAGCTAGCACAGTGAGGTCTGAGCAAATTAGGGTGTGAGAGATCACAAGTCTTCCATAACTATTATAACCAAATGTCATAAATCACTAGCAAATAAACTATCAGTTAATATAGTACTATCATAGTTTTTTCCCATATAGAAGTTGTTTGTACTATCAGTTTATTTAGATTCTCTTTAGTTTTAGTGACATTTATCATAACATAACAAAGTGAATTATACATGGAACTACTCAGTAT